ACCCCTGCAAACATCCACCCCCCCCCCACACCCCCCTCACCGACAGGCACCCCCGCACCCCCCCACCCCCCCCCCTCACATAGCTCACGGACAGGCACCCCTGCACCCACCCACCCCCCCCTCCACACACAGCTCCCTCCCCCCCCGCCCCTTGCCCATCGCACACACACACACACACCTTATCTATCGGTCAAATGAATCCTGGACCTGTCTCTTATACACATCTAGATGTGTATAAGAGACAGCACCCACACACAGCTCCCTCCCCCCCCGCCCCTTGCCCATCGCACACACACACACACACCTTATCTATCGGTCAAATGAATCCTGGACAGACTGTCGGGATTCAACCTCCTGACGAGTCGATGAAAGTCTGACGAAACAGTCTGTTCGGCACAGTCATGCTTTTCGTTTTTTTCTTCGGCAGTTGTATAGACTAGAAATTTCCCCTTTGCCCTTCGCAAAGGGCAGTGGTGAACATGACAACACACAACGTATGTACAGACTAGATATTTCCCCTTCGCCCTGTAGTTCAGAAAGATGGGGAAACTTGACTCAGGTGTGATAGCCAACATTGAAAAGCACGTGACAGCTGCAGACATTTATCCGCGATCTTCACACAAGATGCAAAAAAACAGCGAAACAAAGGAGAAGACTTCAGAAAACTTTGAACACCAGTGAGGCTTGAATAAGCCATTACGTATAAATCGTCAAACAGAACAACTCGGTAAACCGTAGGCAGAGAGGGAGAAGAGGACAACAAACAAGGGGGCTGTGGCAGACTGTTTCGTCGGAGTTTCGCCAACTCATCAGGACCCTGTTGAGTGCACATATGTTCTTTCAATGCATGACCACAATAGGCTAAGTACACTAAACAGATAGGCTGTGTACTCAGCCTCTATCCTGTCTCTTATACACATCTAGATGTGTATAAGAGACAGATATAGTTTTTTTCGTCCTTTATTTATTTTTTTTGGCTGGGACCTTCCCTGGTCCTTGCACGGCCGGGCCGCCCGGGAATATAGGGTGACCCGGGCGGCCCGACTGGTAGCCTAGTTCTGG